GGAGGACTGTCAAATTGCATTGTCCATCCAACAGTTATTAATAGATTGTCCTGCCTATCAGAGTACAAGCAGGACCTACTTTTGATGTCTAAACTACTTCAACACTCACTGACCTCCTTGCTGAAAGTCCCACCTTTGATGCACTCGCATTTTTAACTGAAACTAACCTATTGCATCAAATTTGATTTCAAATTTGCTTGCATTAGCCCACGCTTACTAAACCCCCTACTGTGTACACCCCTGCCTCTTGCTCATTCTTAACCATTGACAGTTCAAAATATTTTAACACTTTGCTACATGTAGTGCTGTGTGACCCTTGTGGGTTTAGTGCTTAATCTGATTGCAATAATAATAATATGCACCTGAAGAAAGAAATTTGTTAAAGGAGAGAGAGAAAAAAAAGATTTTGGGAGGTGCTAAGTGAAAGTTTAGGGAGCTTTGAACCAAGTGAGAAAATGAAGATGCAGTGAACATAGAGGTTTGACTATTAATTATTTCAAGGGTTAGTTTAAGTTTAATGTTTATTATGCACCCCATACCCATCCTGTGGGCGGTAGTCAAAAGATTACAGAGGTACATAAATGGTCCAGGAACTGGACTCCAAAGTTTTGATAGCTGAGCATGTTACAGAGGTAATGAACTCACAATTTGCAAAGGTAATGAACTCACAATTTACAAAGGTAATGAACTCCAGGTAAGTCTGGTCACAACCATGACAAGTTACAAAGGTATTTACAGATTACAGAGGTACGTAATGGGTCCAGGGACTGGGCCCCCAAAGTTTTGATAGCTGAACTAGGTACAAAGGTAATGAACTCACAAGTTACAAAGGTAATGCACTATTTCAAGGGGATTTAGAAAATTTGTGTCAGTTAAAAATTCTGAAAGGATTCCAATAAACATGGAATTCTAATATGTACTGTAGCTACCAGTGACTGGTGTCTTTGTTTGGCAGAAAGAAATCCACCATTTATTTTTTCATTACCATTGGAAGGATATACGTAGTATGAATGGAAGATTTTATCCCTGCATTATCTTTTTGCCTGGAAAAGTTAATATGTATTTTTTTTTTAAATTTAGTTCAATTTACACTACAGTGTGAGTTTTTGACATAAATGGAAAAATTTCATATTTTCTGCAGTAATTATGTGTAAAATTACTCAGTAGTAAGCAGCCATTGTACATTTTTTTTTAGTACAAGATATATCAACAATAAGCCACTATGGGACTCAGACATCATACATTTTAACCCTTAAACTGTCTAAACGTAGATCTACATTCACGTGCGTAGCGCCCCAACCTTGATTTTCCCCATTGAAAGCATGTAAAAAAAGTAGATCTATGTTCGGAGCCCCCCGCACGTGGATGTAAATCTACATTTGGACAGTTTAAGGGTTAAACAGGCAAAATAAAAACAACTTAGTCACACAAGCAGAGTTGACATTTAATTTTTCAGATTTACAAAATCTTTTCACTACTGGTTTATAATTTTACAAAAATGCACTTATTTATTGTACTTATTTATTTATTTAGTAATTTTAGCATACATACAGAGGTACAAAAAAATACAGGTAAGAGCAGCATGCCAAAGCCACTTATATGCATAGCATTACGGGCTGGCTTAAAATTAACTTAAGATTAACTAAGCAATGATGAAATCAGTGATAAAACATTATTGTAAACAGATAACTATAAAGCACAAATGAGTATTACAAAGACAGGTCATATGGTTGCATGCATTGTTGTACATTCAGTAGAATGGAGTATTCTGTTAGGTAGTGTATTTAAAAAATAACAAAGTTAGATTGGGTCCTAGGTTTAACATTTGTGTGATATAATTGTGAGTAACATATAGGATATACAATTTATAAGGTTCAGTTATTCAGTATTTATTTGGTTTTGAGTGAGTAAGTGATCTTTGAGAAGAGACTTGAATTTATAAACAGGTAGTGTTTCTTTTATATTTACAGGTAATGAATTCCAGATTTTAGGGCCTTTTATGTGCATTGAGTTTTTGCATAGCGTGAGATGGACACGAGGAACATCAAAGAGTGATCTGTGCCTTGTGTTATGGTCATGTGTTCTGTTGAGGTTGGCAAGGAGATGTTTGAGGGGAGGGTTAATATCAGAGTTAAGTGTTCTATGTATGTAATAGGTGCAGTAATAAGTATGGATGTTTTGTATGGTGAGTAGGTTGAGTGTTTTGGAATATTGGTGGAGTGTGCTGCCTGTAGTGAGAATTTGTTATCATTCTAACTGCAGCCTTTTGTTGGGTAATTAGTGGTCTGAGATGGTTAATTGTTGTTGAGCCCCATGCACAAATTCCATAGGTGAGATAGGGGTAAATAAGAGAGTGATAAAGGGCCAGGAGGGCTGACTGTGGAACATAGTACCGTATCTTCGATAGTATGCCTACAGTCTTGGAAATTTTCTTAGAAATTTGTTGTATATGTGTATGAAATTTGAGTCTATTATCAAGGTGGATTCCTAAGAATTTTCCCTCTGTTAGCTTTGTGATAGGTGATCTGTTTATTGTTATGTTAAGAGGTACATCTGTAGCTCTGTTACCAAACTGAATGAAGTAAGTTTCGTCAATGTTTAGTGTAAGTTTGTTAGTCCTCATCCAGGTAGATATTTTCTGTAATTCGGTGTTTACAGTATTGGCTAGCGTGACTGGGCTCGGGTGAGAGAAGACGTATGTAGTGTCATCTGCAAAAAGTGTGGGTTTGAGTAATTGCGAAGCATTTGGTAGGTCATTTATGTATAGGAGAAAGAGAAGAGGGACAAGGACACTTCCCTGTGGGACACCAACTGTAATTGGTTGAGCGGAAGAGCTTGCCCCATTTGCGTACACATATTGGCTTCTGTGCAAGAAAGGTATAAAATACCGACAATATGAAAGTTAAGACACATGTGCAACATCTGGAAATCTTTATTGTAGACGTTTCGCCATCCAGTGGCTTTATCAATACAGATTCTAGGACATAATAGGAAGACAGTAGAACTATATACAAAAGATGAGGTAATCAGTCCCTCAGCCTTGGAGTTAGTGTTCACAGCATCGTGGTGGAGGAGAATCTGAAGCAAAGGCAAGAAGACTGGCGATTATATAGGCGTCAGCGGATAGGGACGGGCAGCAGATGAGGGCATAGTCACTGGTAGGCGGGATTCCCCAGTGGAAGTAGGTCCTTCCCAAAGAGATGGGTTAGTTGCAGCAGCCGTGAAGAGGTCTTGTAGATGTCCTCTGAACCAAGATTCCATGATGTTGCAGTGTCTGACAAGTTGTGCAAGAAAGGTATAAAATACCGACAATATGAAAGTTAAGACACATGTGCAACATCTGTCCGGCCAGCTCCCAGCACAACTGTAAGTAAAAGTCTCTGCTCCTATTCTAGTGGACATATTGGTCAAAAGCTTCACTTTTGACCAATAAACTTAGTCCTTTCAGCTTTGATTACCATGTTATGCTTTTAGATAATCACCATGTCTCTTAAATATTGTACTTATCATGGAGAGTGATTTCTTAAGCAGTGGGTAACCTTTGTCTCTTTCCAGCTTGGAATGACAGCTCAGGTCATCTGCCAACCAAAGAAAAGTGTTGACGGAGACGGACTGAAACAGGTCCTGAGACGTCACTTTTTTATCAACCTACCCGATTAACTGTAGGCAACAGCAGACAACTACCCCTCATCTTTGCAGTGGTAAAGAACCTGCATTCCTGTCATCTGGAAAGACTATTCAAGACTATAGACTCTGTGAAGAATTAGTTGTTAGGTTGTCACTCAACACCTGTGACCCTCCCCCCCACATCATCAGCAATGGCTACAATTTCTACAAGACAGTGTCAACCTCAACCAGACACCCCAGTATAACTGTACATATTAGCATTGAATTCAAATGTTATTTTTCATTTTTCTTTCAAGTAGGATACCCACTCATGTTTTATTGTTTTATATTTTCATTACGAAATAATAAAGTGTTTATCATTGTGAATTATTATTTCTTTTTCTATTCATTAATTTTTCTGAGGAGGAGCCAGCCTTGGTAATACTGACTGAAGTTGTTACAGGGCTGAGTAAGCCTTCACAATCTGATTGACTTTCGATTTCCACTAAAATTTTTTTCACAGAATCAGCATTGGAACAAGCCTCTAACAAAAAAACTGGAATGAAATTGGACGATAAAAAAAAAAAAAAAGAGGGGTCCCTGGCCCTTTATCAGTGTTGCATGTTCTAGAATTAGTCTGACGAGTGTTGCCTAGAGAAACCTTAATACTTTGTATAGCTTCTTTGTTTATTTTATTAAATGTTAAATAGTACTAAAGTTTTCTAGAATAGCATATGCTGCTAAAGTGATGTAGTTTTTAATTTCTTGAGCAAAATACAACTCCAGGGCAAGAGGCCTTAAAAATCAGTACATTAAAGGCTTAAAAAAGTGAAGATAAAGAAATTTTAAGCAATGTAAAATGTTATTTGAAAATGGAAGGACAGATTTTTGGTATGACAAAGATCTCTTAATTCTTTTGTAAAGGACCTAATATAAAAATTCAAGAAAGCTAGTTAAGTAGTTAACACACTGGACTGGGTTTTAGGACTTGCTTGCCATTGGTTCAAACCCCACTCGTTCCTGATTTTTTTATGCATAGTCTTATTGCCAAAAAGAAAACAAATTCTAGACAAACCTCAGAAGAATATTGAAGATCAAATAATGAAACATGGTCTAACCAGTCTGAAGGGTCTCAAATCTTCCAAGTAAAGCTAATATAGGAATTATTAAAAAAAAAAAAAAAAAAAAATCACCTTATCCTCTTAGGTTTATGAAAAGTTTAAGATATAATATTCTTGCTTAAAAGTTCTCATGTCCTTGAAACTTATAAAATTCCACAAATTCTGTATAAGTCTTTTATTCAGAAGTTGAATCTGCTGTCTGAAAATGTTTGAACAAGTGTTCAGAGTAAAATTCTTGACTCCAAATTGTAAAGGGAAAAAAGACAACTTAGAGATTTTTCCCTGTGTATAATTTCAACCTAAAAATTGGTACAACCTTGTTTGTGCTTGGGTAAAACTCACCAAAATCTCAAGCACTTCTATCCAAGTAAATTTACAATGGATAACTGTCTTAAATTCTCATCAAATAAAAAATGATTTAGGTAAATGTTGGATAGCAGTTGAACATAATGGAAAATGTGCTGAAGCAAATTTACATAGTTACATAGATTACTCATCATTTCTTTTACAATTTTTCTAGTAAGACGTGTATCTTTAGCCATTAATGGATAAAAACAAGTGGCTATATGAAAAGAATATTAAAAGTTATACAATTAATAGAAAACCACTTCACTTTAGTTTAGCTCAACAAATAAATGAGTAACAATTCTTCAATTGAGTTTTCTTTAATTTTAAAGATCATATGACAATGGATGGTAAAGTTCGCTCAGTTGTCGATATACATACGAAGGTGCAATGCCACGGCTGTAATGAGAAAAATGTGAATGAGACTTATGAAAACATAAAAGCTTATTGGACATTCATACCCAAAACCATGACATATACTAAATTTAGTGATACAGGTATTTCTTCAATTTTCATTTTCCATATACAGGTCGGCAATCACTAATCCGGCATCATTGGGGCCTGTAGTGTACCGGATTAGTGAGTCTGCTGGATTACAGAGTGGTTAGGTTAGAATACACTTAATTAACCTATCAATAGAGACTCTTTCTGCAACATCTTCCACATTTTCATAGCTGCTTTCTCCTCCACTGGCTTGCTGCTGTGGATTTACAACCATCCTCACAATTTCTGAGTCAGTATAATGATGAAATCTGAAATTATGCTAGCAGAAATTAGTGCCGGATTACTGATGGAACTGGATAATTGATGGCCAACCTGTACATGTAAGTGTTGCTAATTTTTTTTTTAACACGCCGGCCATCTCCCACCTAGGCAGGGTGACCCAAAAAAGATAGAAAAACCCAAAAAGAAAGAAAAACTTCCATTATCATTCAACACTTTCACCATCACTCATACATAATCGCTCTTTGCAGAGGTGCTCATATACGACAGTTTAGAAGTCCCTTCAAACTGCCAATATCCCAAACCCCTCCTTTAAAATGCAGGCATTATACTTTCCATTTCCAGGACTCAAGTCTGGCTAACCGGTTTCCTTGAATCCTTTCACAAAATATTACCCTGCTCACACTCCAACAACTTGTCAAGTCCCAAAAACCATTCATCTCCATTCACTCCTATCTAACATGCTCACGAATGTTTGCTGGAAGTCCTAGCCCCTCGCCCACAAAACCTCCTCTACCCTCTCCCTCCAACCTTTTCATTTACATTTCAAGAAATCAGTAGTAGATTTGTAATTTAAATAATCGTCTCATAACTTTTGATTTTATTCTCAGAAACTCTGTCTAATTTTAACAATTTAACATTAAAAATACAACATTAGAAAATATAAATTCTGTACCAATTATGTAATAAGTGAATACTGTAATGTAATATATAAATAAGTGATATGTAGTAGCTGTTACTTGTACAGTATATATATAACACATATAGCAGACTGAATTGATTCACATTGGTAGATAGCAACACAAAAACAAAACTGATGCATTATGTAATAGTTAAGTTGTTTTGAGGCTTTTGCCCAAAAGGTAATAAAGAATAAATCATTAAAAATATGTCTTACAATATATAGTGGAAGCTCGGTGTCTGAACATACTGGGCGTTGAGTAAAACCGGAGTTCGAACAATTTTGTTCAGAAAAAAAATTACCTGGTCTTGGAATGTTTTTCTGGAGTCCGAATGCACTGACTTGTTTAATCCTTTCAGGGTCCGTCCCGTAGATCTACGGCTTTACGTTCAGGGTCCAAGCCGTAGATCTACGTCATGAGCTCAGCTCACTCTGATAAACTGTGAGTGGCACATTTGGGCCTAGATATGAGAGAATACATCTATGTGGTATGTGTGCACCACATAAAACAGATCCTGCAGCACACTGTGTATAATGAGAGAAAAAACTGAAATCATGATTTTTCGATTAAAACAGCGACTTTGCAGTGTTTTTTGAAGGTTTTTTTATAGTTGTATTTGCGATTTCTTAGTCTCAATTGATAAAATGGAAGACATATTACAGAAATAGAGATGATTTTGATTGGTTTTAGCACTGGAAATGGCTTGAAACTGAGCTCAAAGTAGCAGAAATGTTAAATTTTTGACGATATTCAAGAGTAAACAAACGACCTCACACGTCTAATACACGCCAGCTGGTGGGTCTAATATGCATTCACAAATATGGTGATGATATTTATACAATTATTACAGTATTGCATAACAGTAAATCTTCTATTTTTTGGTGTGAATAAAAATTCATTATGTGAATAAAAAATCAAAATGGAATTTATTTGTAAAGCCTCAAAACATAACTAATGAACAGAGGAAATGTTAATTTAGTTCCAGGAATACCTACATTGTTTATTTTGGACCCTCTTTTGAAATTGGAATATTTTGAACTTTGTGTTAAATTGGCCAAATTAACAATTTCCGATCACTTTAATTTGTAGTTGAAACAGTTGACTTGGCGATTTCTTGTGCTCAATCGATAGAATAGAAGTAATACTAGTGAAATAGCTAAAAATTTAGTTGACTGGAATAATGTAATTGGCCTAAAATGGGAGTCAAAGTCGGCAAAATCGCCGATTCGCAAATATCGCTGACACATCAAAATTCGCGAGAGCATAATTTCGTCAATTTTCCATCAAATTTCGTACTTTTTTTTTTTATTACCTTCACAAAAAGATTCTCTATCATTTCATAAGGAAAAATAATTTTTTTTTTTAAATTCTTGGACACTGGGGCACCACTTCAGATTTGGGCCTTGGACCCTGAAGGGGTTAAAATTCAGTTGTAAAAAACTTTACAGGATAGCCTTGTTTCAAAAGTGCTTTGAAGTGACCTCTGACACTGACCTAACTCTCAGGGGCTTTTGGAAGAGTCTGTTCAACATCCTCCAGTGTGTGAGACTGATAATTAAAGACACGGAAATACTGTTTTGGACATCAAACTTTTTGCAGTTCGAACACCACCTAGGAACAAATTAGGTTCAAACAATAGGGTTCCACTGTACAGTAGAACCCTGTTTATGAAATAAAATGCTGCATATTTTGTATTAGAATGAAAAAAAAAAAAGTCGAGGATACTTTTAACCATACGTATTTCAGACACCTAAATTATGGTACTGTACAGTATTATAAAAATAAAACAAGAATAAATTAAAAAAAAAAAATTTTTTTTAGCTAAATATTGAAATTTTAAGGAAAACAAGTGATAGACATGGAAATCTTATGGCCTCTTCCTAATAAAAATTTATGATGAAACTTATCTGAGCACATTTTTTGTGTGAAAAATGATACTTATTGGGAAGTAACTGTCTAACATATGAATCCGTGAAGGGGTTAAAGTCTTAACACAAGAACCTTTCGATTAAAATTATGTACGGAAATTAACTTAATAAAAGTGGAAAGTAAGATTTTTTGGACTCTGGAGACTAAACTATAGAAACATATACTAGTTAGGAAACTGTAAGGTGTACATGGGTTTTAAACTCACAGCCACAAATCCTACAGTACACTCATTCATGTGTACTCACCTATTTGTGGTTGCAAGGGTTGAGGCTCAGCTCCTGGCCCTGCCTCTTCACTGATCGCTACTAGGTCCTCTCTCTCCCTGCTCCATGAGCTTTATCATACCTCATCTTAAAGCTATGTATGGTTCCTGCCTCCACTACCTCACTTTCCAGACTATTCCACTTCATGACAACTCTGTGACTGAAGAAATACTTCCTAACATCCTTTTGACTCATCTGAGTTTTCAACATCCAATTGTGACCCCTTGTTTCTGTATCCCATCTGTGGAACATCCTGTCTCTGTCCACCTTATCTATTCCTTGCAGTATTTTGTATGTAGTTGTCATGTCTCCCCTAGCCCTCCTGTCCTCCAGTGTCATCAGGCCAATTTCCTTTAATCTTTCTTTGTAGGATATTTCCCTTAGCTCAGGAACTAGTATTGCCACAAACCTTTGCACTGTCTCTAACTTCTTGACGTGCTTGACCAGGTGTGGGATCCAAACTGGTCCTGCATACTCCAGTATGAGCCTGACATACACAGCGTACGGTGTCTTGAACGATTCCTTACTAAGGTATCGTAACGCCATTCTCAGGTTTGCCAGGCGCCCATATGCTGCAGCAGTTACCTGGTTGATGTGTGCTTCTGGAGACGTGCTCAGTGTTATACTCACCCCAAGATCTTTCTCCTTGAGCGAGGTTTGCAGTCTTTGGCTACCTAGCTTATACTCTGTCTGTGGTCTTCTTTGCCCTTCCCTGATCTTCATAACTTTGCATTTGGCAGGGTTAAACTTGAGAAGGCAGTTGGTGGACCAGGTGTCCAGCCTGTCCAGGTCTCTCTGAAGTCCTGCCTGATCCTCATCTGATTTAATTATCCTCATTAACTTCACATCATCTGCGAACAGGGACACTTTTGAGTCTATCCCTTCCATCATGTCATTCACATATACCAAAAATAGCACTGGTCCTAGGACCGACCCCTGTGGGACCCCACTCGTCACAGGTGCCCACTGTGATACCTCATCACGTACCATGACTCACAGTTGCCTCCCTGTCAGGTATTCTCTGATCCATTGCAGTGCCCTTCCTGTTATATGTACCTGATCCTCTAGCTTCTGCACTAACCTCTTGTGAGGAACTGTGTCGAAGGCCTTCTTGCAGTCCAAGAAAATGCAATCAATCAACCCTTTTCTCTTGTGTCTTACTTCTGTTACTTCATCATAAAATTCCAGAAGGTTTGTGACAGGATTTGCCTTCCATGAGTCCAAGCTGGTTGTCATTTATACTCTTGTTCCATTCCAGGTGCTCCATCACTCTTCTCCTTATAATCTTCCCCATGACTTTGCATACTATACATGTCAGCGACACTGGTCTATAGTTTAGTGCCTCTTTTCTGTCTCCTTTTTTAAAAATGGGAACTACATTTGCCATCTTCCATACCTCAGTTAGTTGCCCAGTTTCAAGGGATGTGTTGAAGATTGTGGTTAGTGGCACACACAGTGTTTCTGCTCCCTCTCTAAGGACCCACAGGGAGATGTTGTCCAGTCCCATCGCCTTTGAGGTATCAAGGTCACTTAGCAGCTTCTTTACCTCCTCCTCAGTTGTGTGTATGTCATTCAACACTTGTTGGTGTCCCCCTCTGTTCTGTCTTCCCAGACTCCTTCCTGTCTCCACTGTAAATATTTCCTTAAATCTCGTGTTGAGCTCCTCACATACCTCTTGATTGTTTCTTGTGAGTTCCCCACCTTCTTTCCTCAGCCTGATTACCTGGTCTTTGACTGTTGTTTTCTTCCTAATGTGGCTATACAGCAGTTTCGGGTCAGATTTGACTTTCGATGCTATGTTTTCGTACTGTCGCTGGGCCTCCCTCCTTATCTGTGCATACTCGTTTCTGGCTCTTCGGCTAATCTCCTCATTTTCCTGGGTCCTTTGCCTTCATCATCTTTTCCATTCTCTAGCGCACTTAGTTTTTGCCTCCAGACCTTCGGGTAAACCAAGGACTCGCTTTGGTCTTCCCATTATTTCTACTGCCCTTGGGAACAACCCTTCCTCTGCCTCCTTGCATTTTGCTCTTATGTATTCCATCATTTCGTTTACTGACTTTCCTACCAGTTCTCTGTCCCACTGAACGTCCTGCAGGAAGTTCCTCATTCCTGTTTAGTCCCCCCTTTCATAGTTTGGCTTTTCCCATTCAACTCCTGTTACCCTCTCCACTTGTAACTCTACTATGTAATCAAAGCTCAGAACCACATGATCACTAGCTCCAAGGGGCCTCTCATATGCAATGTCCTCAATGTCTGAACTGCTCAGGGTGAACACAAGGTCCAGTCTTGTTGGTTCATCCTCCCCTCTCTCTCTCTGGTAGTGTCCCTGGCATGTTGATGCATGAGGTTTTCCAATACCACATCCATCATCTTGGCTCTCCATGTTTTGGGACCCCCATGTGGCTCCAGGTTTTCCCAATCGATCTCCCTGTGGTTGAAATTGCCCATGACCAGTAACTTTGCTCTGCTCGCGTGAGCTCTTCTTGCCACCTCAGCTAGTGTGTCCATCATCGCTCTGTTGTTTTCTTCGTATTCCTCTCTTGGCCTCCTGCAGTTCTGTGGTGGGTTATACATCACTGCAATGACTACCTTATGTTCCTCAGACTGAATTGTACCTACTATGTAATCTCCTTCTCCTATCTCGTGCATGCCTTCCATTTCCTCAAATCCCCATCGTTTTTTTTGTGAGCAGTACAACCCCTCCCCCCCCTGCTCCTTCAATCTTTCCTCAGGATCTGATATCCCGGTGGGAAGCGTGTATCTGTTATTGTCTCAGCGAGTTTCGTTTCTGTGACTGCTATGATGTCTTTGGAATTCTCATTGATTCTTTCATGCCACTCCTCATATTTATTTGTTATTACATCCGCATTCGTGTACCAAACCTTCAACTTCTTTTCTATCACTGTCTGTGTGTGTGTGTGTGCGCACGCATGCGCTCCCGTATTTGTGGTTGCAAGGGTCGAGACTCAGCTCCTGGCCCCGCCTCTTCACTGATTGCTACCAGGTCCTCTCTCCCCCTGCTTCATGAGCTTTATCATACCTCATCTTAAAGCTATGTATGTTCCTGTCTCCACTACCTCACTTTCCAGACTATTCCACTTCCTGTCAACTCTGTGACTGAAGAAATACTTCCTGACATCCCTTTGACTCACTTGAATCTTCAACTTCCAATTGTGACCCCTTGTTTCTGTGTCCCATCTCTGGAACATCCTGTGAGTGTGTGTGTGTGTGTGTGTGTGTGTGTGTGTGTGTGTGTGTGTGTGTGTGTGAGAGAGAGAGAGAGAGTGAGAGAGAGTGAGAGAGAGTGAGAGAGTGAGAGTGAGAGAATGAGAGTGAGTGAGTGAGTGAGTGAGTGAGTGAGTGAGAGTGAGTGAGTGAGTGAGAGTGAGTGAGAGTGAGTGAGTGAGTGAGAGTGAGTGAGTGAGTGAGAGTGAGTGAGAGTGAGAGAAACTTATAACCCTAATTTTTAAAGGGGTGGACTGGTAAGCCAGCAGAAGGCCTCAGTCAAATGACCAAAAGCTCCAGCAGCAGGCCATCTATGACTAAGACAGAGTCAGGAAACACTTGTCCTGTGTTCTCATAAACCTTACCTAAGCTAAGCCATATATCTTACAGTTTTCTCTTACTTGCATGCACTATGAAATTCCTATTTCACATACCAGTTAGTTTAAAACCGATAAATTCAATTTACAACAAGAGACCAACAAAAGTAAAACTTACTTGTTAGTAATGAAGCTAGTAACATTTTCTGGAGGAACATAATCAAACTTTGCCATCACCACATTGACAAAAAAAGGTATGTCAGCAGTGGGGGGAACAACATCGTTTCTACTGCCATAGTGATTCACTTCCTCGCTGCTCACCAGACTGAACTTGTAGGTTGGAGTGCAGACATATAACTGACAAGAAGAAATAAATAAAATAAAAAATCAATGATTAAGAGGATCAGTTTTCAAATTTTAGATTTTTTCAATGAACCGTCCTTATCACACCGAGGCAGGGTGACATTAGGAGAAAAACTAAAGTTTCTCTTTTTAAATTTAGTAATGTATACAGGAGAGGGGGTTACTAGATCCTTGCTCCCGGCATTTTAGTTACCTCTTACGACACGCATAGTTTACGGAACAAAAATTCTGTTCCACTTCCTCATGGAGTAAAATTTTAAAGATATTACAATAATAATTCTAGGAGCAAGAGGCTAGTAACCCCCTTTTCCTGTGTAAATTACTTAATGTAAAAAGAGGAACTTTTTTCTTTTTAGGATACCCTGCCTCGTTGGGAGACCGCCAGTATGTTAAATAAATACAATAACATTTAAAAATTTAATTCCAATAAAATAGTTATACAAATTCTATTCATATACATACTGTATCAAAATCAAAATACATATCAATATAAATACACACATACACACACACACACACACACACACACACACACACACACACACACACACACACACACACACACACACACACACACACATTTATTTTTTATTATTTATTATCACACTGGCCGATTCCCACCAAGGCAGGGTGGCCCGAAAAAGAAAAACTTTCACCATCATTCACTCCATCACTGTCTTGCCAGAAGGGTGCTTTACACTACAGTTTTTAAACTGCAACATTAACACCCCTCCTTCAGAGTGCAGGCACTGTACTTCCCATCTCCAGGACTCAAGTCCGGCCTGCCGGTTTCCCTGAACCCCTTCATAAATGTTACTTTGCTCACACTCCAACAGCACGTCAAGTATTAAAAACCATTCGTCTCCATTCACTCCTATCAAACACGCTCACGCACGCCTGCTGGAAGTCCAAGCCCCTCGCACACAAAACCTCCTTTACCCCCTCCCTCCAACCTTTCCTAGGCCGACCCCTACCCCGCCTTCCTTCCACTACAGACTGATACACTCTTGAAGTCATTCTGTTTCGCTCCATTCTCTCTACATGTCCGAATCACCTCAACAACCCTTCCTCAGCCCTCTGGACAACAGTTTTGGTAATCCCGCACCTCCTCCTAACTTCCAAACTACGAATTCTCTGCATTATATTCACACCACACATTGCCCTCAGACATGACATCTCCACTGCTTCCAGCCTATGATATACATATATATGATATACCTATGATATACATGTACATATATATGTATATCATAGGTAGTAGGTTGGTAAACAGCAGCTGCCCAGGGAGGTACTACCGTCCTGCCAAGTGAGTATAAAACGAAAGCCTGTAATTATTTTACATGATGGTAGGATTGTTGGTGTCCTTTTTTCTGTCTCATAAACATGCAAGATTTCAGGTATGTCTTGCTACTTCTACTTACACTTAGGTCACACTACACATACATGTACAAGCATATACATGTATACACACACCCCTCTGGGTTTTCTTCTATTGTCTTTCTAGTTCTTGTTCTTGTTTATTTCCTCTTATCTCCATGGGGAAGTGGAACAGAATTCTTCCTCCGTAAGTCATGCGTGTTGAAAGAGGCGACTAAAATGCCAGGAGCAAGGGGCTAGTAGCCCCTTCTCCTGTATATATCACTAAATGTAAAAGGAGAAACTTTTGTTTTTCCTTTTGGGCCACCCCGCCTCGGTGGGATACGGCCGGTGTGTTGAAAGAAACATGCAAGATTTCAGGTATGTCTTGCTACTTCTGCTTACACTTAGGTCACACTACACATACATGTACAAGCATATACAGTGGATCCCTGACTTACGATATTAATCCGTTCCAGAGAGCACATCTTAAGACGAAATTATCATAAGTCGAATTAATTTTCCCCATAAGAAATAATGGAAATGAAAAGCAAAGATAAAGTCAACAACTAATAAAAGCAATGAATATAAACCCTCAACACAAATAAATACTATCACACCAGGTTAAAAAGTCAGAAACCCCATTAAATAAGTTTCCGAGGTCCGTACAAGCACCTCAGTAAATATAAAAACACGAAGAAGGCATAAAGGCCTAAGTCAATGGCACAAGTCAATGGCACAGTCAACAGCTTGACATAAACTACATAGAGGGTTACAGGAACACCTACAAACAGGTGGCTATGGATTAGATGTAGGTGCCTCATCATAAGTCAACAGAGATTCATCTCAAAATGATGATTTCTGCTGAAAGAGGAGGGTCAAGCACCCATATCCTGTTAAACCCTGTATAATTTGATCCCAGTCTGTGGGGCCAAATCCAAATGTGCAGATTCAAATTTGCTTACAGTAGTAGCCAAAACAGAAAAATCTTGTAAGTAAATGATGCTGACTTGAGGCTCCTTACAGAACGTAACTTTTATGTCCCTGATAGCCAATAGTAACATCTGAGTAATACAGCTGCATTGTAAAGTGGATGCATTTCATCCTTTTGTTATAATGTCACAGTGTCACAACTGTTTGTTATAATCTCCTTAGGTGGAACAAAGTGCACCTGAATCAGTTAACACTGGTTCAATCTCTGGTTTTGGGTGCTTGACTTATCAGATAGGACACACATGACCAGGGGGCATGTGGATACCATGATGTAAGTGGCTAGGACAGCTATAATTGATCCAAAATGGTGCAGTGTATAGAATGTATTCTCAAGGGCTGAGGCACGAGGTACTGAGGGAAGGGTGGGAGGTTATATAAGGCTCAAAAAGTCACTCACTGTGGCTCAAAAGGTTACACTAATATTTGTGACTCAATACGATTCACAAACTCCCTCATACAGGAGACTATTGTAATGGAAACCATGGGAATAACCCCAATTGCACTGTATTTTTTAAAATCTGCCCTTATGTAATGACCCCAGTCCTGTGGTACAAACTTTGGATTATTATTATATGGTATTGAACAGCATCTCAAAGTGATTAATAATCAAAATATAAGAAAATTAGTTTACAACTTTACCCTTTTCTGCAAGTGCAATTAACATTTGTACATAATAGGTCTCAACTCACCCAAATGATGTAGCTTCAGTGATTCAAGCAAAAGTATGACAGTATAAGGTACCCTTGTATTGCATATACAGTGGTACCTTGAGTTATGAACTTAATTCGTTCCAGAAGGCTGTTCGAGTGCCGTTACCGAATGAATTTGTTCCCATGAGGAATAATGTAAATTAGATTAGTCCATTTCAGACCCCCAAAAATACACTTACAAAAGCACTTACATAACTGTTCAAGTTTGGAGCTGTTCGAGGTTCCACTGTACCTAGAGATGAAGGATACAGGTGGTGGCAGCTGTAAATGATAAATGATGGAACATGTGGTGTTCATTATGTTGGTACAGTAAACACTCGATATAACAGGCTTCAATATAATGGACTGGTGAAATAACAGACAAAATCCACTGAGTACATTGTACTTTAAATTCCAGTATTTTCAATGTTTGTTGCAGTATAACCGTAAATTGTAAATAAGGTAATGTATTAGGTATATAATATAGTACTTCTGTGCTTTCTCTGATTAAATGGAGACTGACAACCTTCCTTATTACCATTATATAGAGGAGTTTACTGCATGTAACAAGTCTGGTCCTGGAACTCTCTTGATGTAACAAGACTGGTCCTGGAACTCTGGTAATGTAAAATGACTGGTCCTGGGAGGCTGATAGTGTAACAATGCTAATCCTGGAACGAGACTTGTCTACATCCAAGATATAGTTAATGGGCTTGAAGGAAGTGGACCTGCAAGAATGGCCAGGAATAGCAGTAGGACCCTAGTCAATACAAGGAGATTCCAAACTGAGTGGAATATTTAAAATCTTACAGTGTCATGTCATGGCTTGAGTAATACTACTATATTTCAATGACATGGTCCATTAATGGTCTTCAGGGGTGTAGTGGTGGATATTGTACAACTTGAGACTGCAATAAAATATATGAAAAATTTTCTGCCTTCCATTTTCTTATCTCTTATCAATTACAATGGTACTGTATTTATCCTACTGATGTACAAAAACTAAGTGCAAAACCTTCTGTACAGTATATGCCAGAATCTCTTAACTGTTTTGCTGGGTATGCAAATTATAGTCTTTCAGTAAAGAGGAGGTAGTTGTGTAAACAGTATAACTAAGCTCCCCCCCCACCATACTCTTGACTAGGGTGACGTGATGCACTGAGCATGCACAGAGATGCAAATTCAAACAATAATCTGCTTGCATTTTCTTTCTAATTTATTTAAAGAAAACTTACCCAAGTACAGTCTAATAAATGGAAAATTTATGGTCATATCTACTGTCCCATAAATGACATAATTTATGATCACGTATACATTGTACAGAAAACTATATATATCTGAATCTGTAATACAATTAATCTACAGTACAGCACTCTCTTAAGAGAGTGATAGTGTGAATGATGGTGAAAGTGTTACTTTTTTGGGCCACCTTTCCTTGATGGGGGACGGTCAGTGTGTTAAAAAAAAAAAAAAAGAAAACCGAATGATGAAAGCTATATGTAAAATGGCCATCAGTAAAAATTTTGTTTAATCAAATAATTTGGATTATGAAGCACTAACTACTGGGTCTGACTATATAACCAGCACTTGCTAAATTGATCAGTGTCAGTTCGTGAAGAGAATCCCATAACAAGTGTATAATTTTGATGTTCCTAGTCTACTATTTATGTAATAATCACAACACAAATGATAAAATAATATTACAATACCAACCGGAACAGAGTAAAACTTTGCTGCTGAGGCTAAAGGAGCAGCGCCGACAAAGGTCTTGATGCCACCATTGCTTAAGACAGTTTGAGTACCAATGATCACCTTGTTAACACGAGACATCATGGGAAACACTGCACAATCTTGAATGAGGGTTGTCTGGATACCAGCAGAACACAAGGATTTTGCCATAAGATGACCCTGAAAAATGATTACTGAGCGGTGAAGCAAGAATACAAGTTCATATTTGTGAATGTTACAGATTTTTCTTTTTGTAAGGAACATGCAAACAAGAATGACAAAAATGTTAAAAAGTACCCTGCCAAATACTGAGAAAAGTTTGCCAAGTAGGATTTTTTTTAAGAAATGAATTTACAGGATAAGAGTTATCTTACTTAAACGTTTTTCAAAATCCACAACTATCTAAGGTATACTACCATCCCACAGGATGCCACATAAGTCAACTAATACCTAGGCATACATTTACAGCTAGGTGAGCAGGGGAAATAGAGAAGATATAAATTCTCCTCTAACTCTGTGTGCAATAAATGACTTAAGAACACCATGAAAGGCCAGTCAGGCTGTTGGTGACTAGCATGTAGTATAACGTTCAGGATCACTCAATACTACCATATCAAATGATTTAGAAATCAATAACATATAAAAGCTTATGTAATAAACAGCAAATATGAAAGATGGAAGAAACAATTATAAAAAATTATATTTTAACTGGCATGTGAATGTTATATTGCTGATGATACTATGCTTATAAGAGATTCTAAAGAAAAGTTGCAAAGGTTAGTGGATGAGTTTGGGAGGGTGTGTAAAGGTAGAAAGTTGAAAGTGAACATTGATAAGAGTAAGGTGATGAGGGTATCAAACGATTTAGATAAAGAAAAATTGGATATCACATTGGAGAGAGGGAGAATGGAAGAAGTGAATGTTTTCAGATATTTGGGAGTTGACTTGTGTTACGGAGTACTGTAAAAAAAATATTTATATAAAATAACGCTCCATATACAGTGGACCCCCGGTTAACGATATTTTTTCACTCCAGAAGTATGTTCAGGTGCCAGTACTGACCGAATTTGTTCCCATAAGAAATATTGTGAAGTAGATTAGTCCATTTCAGACCCCCAAACATACACGTACAAACGCACTTACATAAATACACTTACATAATTGGTCGCATTCGGAGGTAATCATTATGCGGGGGTCCACTGTACAGTGGACCCCCGCTTAACGATCACCTCCAAATGCGACCAATTATGTAAGTGTATTTATGTAAGTGCGTTTGTACATGTATGTTTGGGGGTCTGAAATGGACTAATCTACTTCACAATATTCCTTATGGGAAAAAATTCGGTCAGTACTGGCACCTGAACATACTACTGGAATGAAAAAAGTTCGTTAACCGGGGGTCCACTGTATAATGTCATTTTCCGTGTAACATAGTTCTGGGTTTGTATTGAATCCGAACGCGTATTATTCCTGGCCAGTTAGAGTGGCCAGGAGATGGGAGTAGATGAGGTGTTTTTAGTTCAGTACCAGACAGGTGGTGATGGAGGTAAAGCCATCATGTTTGGGCAGTAGTTTGAGTAGGTAATTCAGGTAAGTTTTTTTAGTGTATACTATAGGTGTTTGTGTTTAAGTGCTCTCATGTTTATTTGTAAGGCCCTAGTATGCAGAGGCCTGTTTATGTGAGAGTACTGTATGGTGTTTTGCCTGCTGGTAATTAGTCTACCAGACAGAAGTGAAGACAGGGGTGTGTATGTCATGGTGCCTCCCTTATGATTTATTTTGTTTTAACTCTAATTAGCTGCAGTGTGCTAGTGAGTTAATGTGAACTGGAGTGTGGTGGATTTTTTGTGTTGTAATAAGTCTGTATTAAGTTATTAAAAATATTAAAGTATATTTTTGTATAGGTGAGTTTTTGTCCTTCCTAATAATAATTAATATTGTTTAATACACGAGTGCATGCTGGGGAGCACAGGGTTCGCTGTGTTTTAAGAGTAATTTTATAACTCTAGACTGCAGTTGGTGTGCAGCCTTTAGGTGGTAGGAGAGATTCAGTCCTCAACTTGAGTGCGTGTGGTCACCCCTTCAATCTTGAATAGAATACCTCTTTCTCCTCCTGTTCTTCAAGTTTATCCTTTGTATGGACTGATGAAGCCACTGTGTGGCAAAACGTTTCCTCAATAAAGATACCCAAGAGTTGCACATGTGTCTAATTTAACAATGTGTTGGTTCTTTGAACCATTCATCTACAGCCTTTAGGAGCCAGGAACATTTTATTTAAGTTAAAACATCAAAGTCGTAACACCTGTCAGCGGATGGGTTTATGAAGGATGACATTAACCATAGAAATGATGAAGGAAAAAAGGTGAGTGGTGTGTTGAGGTGTCTATGGAGATAAAAAAACGTTATCCATGGAAGCAATGGGGGGAAATAATAAAGCAAAGAAGGGAATGTACGAAAGTATTGTGGTACCAATGCTCTTATATAGGTGTGAAGCTTGGATTGCAAATGTTGCAGCGAAGAGGTGGATGGAGGCAGTGGAGATGTCCTGTCTAAGGGCAATGTGTGGTGTAAATAGTACAATGCAGAGAATTCGGAGTGTGGAAATTAGGAGGAGTCCTCGAAAGGGTTGGAGGGAGGGGGTAAAGGAGGTTTTGTGGGCAAGGGGCTTGGACTTCCAGCAAGCATGTGTGAGCGTGTTAGATAGGAGTGAATGGACACGAATGGTTTCTGGGACCTGACGAGCTGTTGGAGTGTGAGCAGGGTAATATTTTGTAAAGGGATTCAGGAAAACTGGCTAGCCAGACTTGAGTCCTGGAAATAGGAAGTACAATGCCTGCACTTTAAAGGAGGGGTTTGGGATATTGGCAGTTTGGAGGTTGACTTTTAAGCTGTCGAATCTGAGTGCCTCTGCAAAGACAGTGAGTATGCATGAGTGAGGTGAAAGTGTTGAATGATGATGAAAGTATTTTATTTTTTGGGGATTTTTTATCTTTTTGGGTCACTCTGCCTTGGTGGGAGACGACTGATGTGTTGAAAAAAGAAGCAAAGACAGTGAGTATGTATGAGTGAGGTGAAAGTGTTGAATGATGATGAAAGTATTTTCTTTTTGGGGATTTTCTATCTTTATGGGTCACCCTGCCTCAGTGGTGGAGCGACCGATGTGTGAAAAAAGAAATGAATATTAAATCATTGTTACCAAAACTCAATCATACTTGGTGCACACTCAGGCGACCATTAACATGGAATTTTCTTCGTTTTGCAGCTTTGGTGAGAAAAGCCAGAACCATAGGACACATACCACATGTCATAATTACTTCATCATTATGGATCTTGCTCTCTCCTTGCAGTGCTATTAATTCCTGACTGAAAATGAGACTCAGTTACTTTTCATAATTCATATACAACACTATATATCAATACGATAAGTATGGAAACAATGACAAAGATGATTGTGATTTAACTTATAACGTGTGGGAATTCATGCTACAAAAGTATATCAAATAATACACATGGGCTGTAGTTTAGTATCTTTATTCTGAAAACATTTTTACACAGTAGGTTCTTCAGTTGAATACAGGGAGCAGCAGAAGTAGTACAGATGTCAAGGCAAAATTAATAAGTCCATACCCTTTGTTGATGTAGTTTTGAGTGGTCAGGTCCTTCATTCTGGAGAAGATTTCTGTCATGTCTTTGAGGGTGATGGATCTGTTACATCACTTTGCATCTCTACTGTTTTCTGCTCACTCCTATATATTCTAATGAAGAAGCCCACTGTTGTAGGCAAACATTTTTGGAATAAGATAGCTAACCTAACGGTTGAACATGCCTTAATATGTTTACAATACCTTATTAGGCATTTAAAATAATAAGCAGTGAAGGAAAAAACAATACCACCATCTATTTTGTTTTTTCAACCAGTCGGCCATTCCACCGAGGCAGGGGTGACCCAAAAAAGAAAGAAATCCCCTAAAAGAAAATACTTTCATCTCTTTCAAAACTTTCACCCCACTCACATAATATTCACTGTTTTTGCAGAGGTGATCAGGAAACAACAGTTTAGAAGCCTATACGTTATTTGTGGGATGCAAGAGTACGTAACCTTTATTCGGCGCTTGTCACTACCCTCATTTTACAGGATATCTCCCCCAACCAGCGAAACAGGTTGCTAAGAGTTGATGACTTGGGGGCCTCGTCGATTGTTCAATATAGTGACCGGTTCTAGCCAATAAGAAGATGGTTTTGGCAACGCAGAGGTTTTATGTGTATAGGTACCGCTATCGGTCTTGCCCTTGTTCATTCCCTTTCTAGAGCTGGTTTGAAGCACGGTTGCTATTTGTGCTCTATTCTGCCTTGTTAGTGAGTGCACTATACTCATCTCTGACATAGTGTACTATTGCTGTTCTAAATTTGGTGGAAGGATATATATAAGTCTCTAACTTTTACTGCTGTGTTTTATTTTGCTCCCATTACAACCCGGGATAACAGGCCATTTGGAAATACTGGGTATTGTAATATGGGTAGCCTAGTCCGAGAGATCTGGAGCTGGACTTAGAGATAAGTTTGAGCTTAGGGTGAAGATCGTAGCAGGAACAGTGTTGCAGTGGCTGTCTTGGCTACTGCTTACAAATTTTGCGTGTCAGTTGCTTTGTTATGATCAGCTTGCTATTGTGTGATCGTTCAACAGCTCGTCTAGCTTGTTCGGATTGACTGTGCTCGCTTCGCTACGGTCATCTTCTAGAACAGTGTTGCTTGTCTGGCATTGCTTTACAAATTTGCGTGTCAGTTGTTACTAGCCTGTTCGGATTTGTGGAGAATTTTGCAGTCGCTTTGATTGTATGCATATTATGCAATCGTACTGTGCATAGCCTAAGTGTGTTCTGCAAATTAACGTGTTACGTTTGGGAGAAGATTCTGCAATCGTACTGTGCATAGCGATTAACTTATGACCACCTAGAGAGTCAGACATTTGGTGATCGGCATATACTTTGCATAACCTACCTAAAATGGTCCGCCTACAGCGTTGTTGCAAAATTTGCAATCGTTCCACTTGGCATTATATACAAAAACGCACTGTCCCACAGCTGCGCAACTGCGTTCACTGATTGCTGACAAACTTTAGAAGAGAGATGGCACATCAGACTCCTCCCTTACGGATGGTAGGGCAACAAAACTCCTATCTTTCTCGCAGGGAAAGATGGATACACTACGGAGCAAAATGGTCAGTATAGTGCAGCTGGGTTGTACCTCAGGGTGAATTCTAGCTGTCGTTGGCAACTTGAGCTGGCAAATCAATCTTGAGCATCTCTAGGGAACGAGAGCATTCGCAAGGGAAGAATATGAATAGTGAAAGAGAAAGGAGCAAGTTTTTGCATTCTGTAAATGATTTTAGTTTACAAAAAGCTGTTTACAGCTTGTTCCGCTCAATGAGGGCTGAACCAGAGCAATTTTTCGAAAGCTTCGAAAATCAAGGCTCGCGAAGCCTGTGAGTGGCCGGAACAGCATTGGGCATCGTTGGTGCATACAGCATTATTGGGCAAAGATGCACAGGAATTTACGTCAGTATTTAAATGACGCATTATATTCTGATTTTCAAGTAGTGTGGAAGACCAAGTGTTGGGAGCATATACATGTATACCAGCCAAATATAGGAAAAAATTTAAATTAAGCAGGCGGGCGCTTGGGTCAATCCCTAGGCGACTTTGTGAGACAGCAAAACAATGTTTTTACCAGTGGTATAAAGCAAGTCGTTTTAGTGCTCTACTTTGATTGAGGGAGCTGGTGCAGAGCTTTACTTATGATTGATAAACTGCTGTAAGTCTGTGGGACCAGAGGAGTAAGAGTCTTTCGGGGCAGGATCGCGACTTAACCACTGCATTGGAGGCAGCCAGGGTGGCTGATACCTTCGAAACTAACGCCTCCTTGTAGAGCAGTCCGTCAGATTTCTTTTACAACTGAATGGGCATGAGCAGAGATCGTTCAACCTTGGAGAATGAAGTGCCAAGCCGGAGCGAGAACGTCTACGTCAGCCAACTAAGTCACATTGGTGAGCCACGCTTTCAACATTATGGTCCACCTGCGGAGAGGTAAATACTCGTGGTGCATCTCAACAACAGTTATATCCAGTGAGTCACAGCCAGTACTGGACACCATCTGCAACGTCAGCAGGGAGTAAGCGGCAAGCCTGTCGTTGCTTTTTGTGTTATAAAGTAGGTCACATCAGTCCCTAACTGACCCAATAAACCCAAAACCCATTGGGAAAATCTCTAATATCCCTGTAACATGTCCCTAGGAGAAGTGAATAAGGTATGGCCCTTGTATTGATGGAGGTCTTATTTCCTTCATGGAAAACTCAGAAAACAACTGTAGTAAAGACCTTTTTTAAGATAATGGGAGTCATATTGCTCACTGTAAGAGAAGGAATATTACCCTCAGAGAATCACTTCTTGAATGCCTCTGTTTATTGAAGCTTTTGGAGGAAGTAATATATGTTGTTCCTTTGCATACCAATTTATGTACGGTCAACTATTTACACTGGGTACTTGATGTAGGTGGCTCAAAGGGAATTTCCATAGATAAGAGATGCCATGTTATACTGGTAATTTCATTACTTAATGTTAGTTCAGTGTCTCCTGAACCTATAATTGATTAATTTCTTCTCCGGTGTTGGCCATAACTCGGGCAACATCCATAGGGTTGGCTGGAGAGAATGCTTGACCTATCCTTGGACGACTCCGATCTCGGTATAAGCCACGTTGTTTTATGAGGCACACCGGGCCGGAGCCTCCGTAAATCAAGTGAACAGACCGATCAAGCATTCCTATTCCAGGTTGCAGTATTGCCAAGAGGTCCTCTGTTTCCAATGCCAGTGGGGACTGTCTGCAAAGGAGGAACAACGAAAAGACCCTTCTTTAAAATGCGCGCTCTTTAGGCCAGGCCATGGGTAAATCCTTTTGGGTCATCAGTCATAGTATGAAGTTAAAAAAACAATATTTGATCTGCACTGAGACTGGTAAGTGAAGTAGAGGGCGGCAATTGTTATGTCAGGTTAGTGGTTCCAAACCAAAGTTTAGACCTCAAATATTAAAATAGATTTAATACGTCTTTAGGAGGTCACTTAGGAATTTACAATAATCTTGTATAAATCACAAAAGAATTTTATTGGGGCCCAAATTAAAGAAGATGTGAAGAATCATATTAGGTGTTGCTGAGAATGTCAGCAAGTAGGAAAACCTGGACATTCCATTAAACCTGCACCTCTCCAACCTATACCTGTGCTGGAGAACCTTTTGAGGATTTAATTATAGATTGTTGTAGTCCATACCTAGGTCAAAGTTGGGAATCAATATTTATTAGATTATGGATAAAGTAACCAGATACCTGGAAGCAATCCCATGCGTAGTATTAATAACTAAAGCTATTCTCAAAGTTAAACCAAATTCATTTTTTGTTTGGATTCCACTAAAACTATTCAAAGTGATAATGTTTCTCTCCCCCCCTGGGGGACTGGGTGTTGCGGGTTCCCCCCCCCCGCTTTGTGGCTATAACTTTACTGCCAAAGCTATTTAGGGAAGTATTAACTAGGTTAGGGATAATCCACACTTATTCCACTGACTATCATCCTCAGTCCCCTAGGCGCCTTGGAAAGATTCCATCAGACATTAAAAAAACAATGTGAGAAGTTTTTGCATGCACTTTCTCTACAGACTGGGATGAATCGACCTTTGTTGCTGTTCTCGTACGAGATGGTGCAGAGTCTTACAGGGAATAGTCCGTTTGAGCTGATTTTGGGCAAAATGTACGAGGTCCTCTTCGGGTGCTCAAGAAGGTTGGATGGGAGAAGACGTTAGTCACACTCTACAACCCGTTCTTCAAGGTTGCAGGTTGGCACATCAGTTAGCCAAGGCTCTAACCTAAATGGACAGGCTCAAAGTATGATCGAAACAGAGGTATGACAGATGTGCACAATTTCCGGCTCCTTTCATCCAGGAGACAAGGTGTTGGTGCAGGAAACTATACCGGCCCACCTTGGAAGTAGATTTATGGGAACCTATGCAGATTGGAAGTAGATTTATCATGATAATTAAATATGTGGTAGTCCCATTGATAAGACCTCATTAAAAACTTAAACTTACCCAACATTAATCAAATAAAGGACATTTTCATACACCAGATATAATGTCCCAGTAATGACCTCTGTTCTCTACCTCTGAGGACGGACTAGACTCTTTGCACTCTATCTCTGAGAGATTAATTATTTATTACCTTTCCATATTCTGTCCTCCTCTAAGGTCCTAGCCTTTTAATGGAGGGGATTATCTGAAACCAAAGCAACAAATTTAATGAGCTTCTACAGTTCAAATCCT